CATAAGAGCGGTTGCATTAACATTATACTATCCCGACATGTACAACTATCCCTTGACTTTTCGAATTATTTGAGTAAATTGCTAAACTTTTTTGTTTAAATAAAAGTATTTGGTATTATGCCAGGCGGTACCGCAGAAAAATATATATGTAATTATCTACATAACTCTGGTAACATTTGTAGTCATGGTTGTCGTCGCCCTGAAGGATGCTATGAACACTAGAAATCTAAAAAACGCATCTATGCAAAGTCTGCGGTAAACTACTACATAATGCAGTTCTATTCCCGAAAGCTCAGGATGGCAAAATCATCGTAATCAAAAACTCGATTGATGACGCAATCGCAAAGTTATTGTCGCTTAATATAGTAAAATCGACAACACAAATAAAAGGCGGTTAGTTATTATTGGGATTGCTATTACCAGATACTGGTATATGTCCCATGAGGTGTGAAACTGAGGCCCTCTGAGGGAGAGGGTACTGAGAGGGGAATACTAATACTAAGTGTGGCACAGATGTACTGAGAGGAGGGGGGGTAAAGAACTTTGATGGTAACTCTTAAGTCAGGACTTCTGGAGCATTCTCATCAAGAAAGGCTTTAGCAAGACGACTACTATGCTTGGGGTTATTGTCTTGCTGAAACCTCCACTTACCCACCCCGAGCATTTAGTCAATTTCTGGGAAATGTTGCTGTAAAATTCGACATAAAATCTGGCACCCATGATTTGCCGAAAGCAAAACAAATTTGTTTTCCCATTTATGCAAAATCACCCCACGCCATAATTTTGTTCGATCTTTTGGCACACAAAGAACTGGCCGTACATCCTTATGCCAACGTTCTACAGTGTTCCGCAAGAGTTGGAATGCGTTGTTAAGATGCTTTTGAGCCCATTCTACACGTTTTTGCTTGTGGGCATTAGTAAACATAGGTGTGGCTCTTGGGAGGTGTTTCTTATATCCAAAGTCATTTAGATGGTTAACAATTGTTGCATGCGTCACACTTACGCCTATTTTTAACAACTTTTTTGCCAAAGTTCGTGTTGACAAGGAAGTGTCTCGCCGAATGTATTGCCCGAGTACTTTCGAGGCATTTCCAGTGATGTTTCTCGGGCGACCATTACCACCAGCATTCCTGGGGGGTTTTTTTTTCAGTTTATTTATATTGTCATATATTGTTGAGTGGTATGCTTGTACGTACGTTGCGCACTCCTTGTTCCATAAATATAATAAAAGATTTCACTAATGGAGTTGATAAGGATCAAAAACAAGAAGATTTATAGTCATTACAATCATACTTTATCATTTTTCGACTATATAACTACATGCTAAATTGTATGTACGTTGTATATAATACATGTCCATTGTGTGTTTCCATTCTTTAAATCTACAGCGTTTTACTATAGGTACATACATTGTCAAATGCTAGATTATAATTAACAAAAAGAAATGAAAATCGGGGCTCAAAAAGGCGAGATGAATAAAATGATTGCTAAATAGACGGAAATAGAAAAATAAAAGGGGTAATTCGGCGAATTCGAATTTACGGAACGGCAACTTTTGTACCAATTCAATTTTGCAATCCTTTTCTATTTTAATATAAACGGGTTAATAAAATTTTACTACTTAGTAGGAACTTTAACTTTGCCAAATTACCCCTGTCTACCTTATATTCCAATGGCCCAGCTGAAGCAATGGATGGGGAGAAGTAATAAATACCAGCCGACGTCTTAAAAAAACAAGAGAACGGTTTACTACTGAGATCACCTAATGTAAAAAAAGAGTGCCGCGGTAAAAACTATCGATAAAAACGTTGTTACGGACGTGAAAAAATTTCTCGAGAATTACGCTGAAAATATATGGACTACCATCCTGGTGGAAATATCAATCGCATTACTCAATCGCTTGCAGCAGAAGATTTTGAAGACAATAAATAGCACGTTAAAATAGCTAAAGTATGATGCATTCCGCAAGTCATGACACCAACTAGATTATGAGTCCAAGAACTCATTTGTTGTTCGTTTGGTTTTATTTGATAAATTTCGTAAGTAGTTTTTTCTTTATCTAGATATTCCTCGAGAATTTTTGTAGCATTGATTTTAATATGGAACTTTTTCTCCTTAATAGTAGATTTAATTCATATTAACCTTCAGCCACACCAGCCTCTTATTTATGTCACATAACACTTGATCAAAATAAAAGCTACTAATATTAATATGGCTAAAATGTTCCAGCCACACAAGCCATCATATGTAAAATGTTCACTTCGTCTGGTTTGCTGCAGCACGACCCTAAATTATTCGCGTAAACATGGACTACGGAACTATAACAGAAGACTCTTATTCTTTTTGCCTTACCAAAGACCTTGATTTGCCATTAACAGTACGAATGTAAAGTATTTCAGCTACTGCCGAATGCATTCATAAAATTTATATCATTAATGTGTATGTCTTTAGTTCGTCTCTTGAGGGCATGCGCAGGAAGAAGCCACTTACTGCCCTGCTTGAAGATCCCACACTTAAATTCACAGGTTTGCAGACCAGGTAAGTATCTCCCGTCTCCTAGCTTTTTTTTTTTTTCAAACTATATCTTCCGTAGACTGACCTACATATCCTTTGGACTCGACCAGTGACTATTCCGATTTGTTCGCAAGCTGTCAACTCTACGCTGATAACAAACCACTGACTGTACCAGTGCGAACTAGTTACAAGCCTTTCAAGAATCATTGGAGGTACTATCTGATATCCCCCCTTCACTTATCTTTTACTCAGCCTGTTATATATCTTAAGAAATAATCTCTAAAATAAACAAAGTTGGAACGAACGGCTTACAATACCTATCAAATATCGTGATCTACCCGTCACCGCGCAGTTGGCAATAACGGTATGGGATATTCAAAATCCAAGGAAAGTCGTTCCTGTTGGTGGGACTACTTTTAGACTTTTTGGTAAAACCAAGTAAGTAAGGTGAAGGATAAGATAAGACAAGATAAGAGGTGTTAACGTATATGTACATCATGGGATTCACATGTATTAGTTGACCTTTTCTTATTGATCTTAGTACGCTGCGTAAAGGAAAGCATAAACTATATCTATGGCCAGATAGAGAAGCGGACGGCCAGCTGCATACTACCACACCCAGTAAAGTTGGCGATAAGGACGAAATGGATAGATTAGAGAAAGTGAGCATTCTTGAAAATAACGGCCATATGTTTCTTAAGCAAAGATCCGTGTACTGACCAATTATGCTGCAGTTGGTAAAACGGTTTGAACGCGGAGATATGACACAGCTCGATTGGCTTGATAACTTAGCATTTAGACAAATAGAAAAAATACACAAGGTATTTTTGGCAGGGTTATTTATTCATGAACATCATACTTTGCGTGCGTTGAATGACTCAATTGACAGCTTTGTATTTTATCAATCTACAGAATGAATCTTCAAAATCAAAAGAACTTTATCTCTATATAGATCTTCCCAAGTTTGATTTTCCATTAATATTTAGCGAATATGTAAGTCAATTTGGGGGGAAAATACCATCTTTTTTATAGCAGCTATAAAACTTTTACTCATTAATTCATCATATCTGGTAGGAATACACTCCCCTAACACAGTCAACGGTGTCATCCACCCAACCAGCAAATCCGCAAACGACCGCACCCACGAATTTTAATACAATACTAGTTATCGATCCGGAGATAATGAGAGAAAACCCTGTAGAAGCAAAACATATTAGATTAGGAAGAAATCATAGAAGTGGTCCATTGGATAGAGATCTAAAACCAGACGCAAATATTAGGGATGATTTGAATGTAATACTGGAGAAGCTTAATTGATAATATCTGTTGCAGTGAGATAAATTCAGAATTATAACCCATCTATTATAAACCTTTGTAGAAAATTCTTAAATATCCTCCAACACAGCAGCTCACATCAGAAGAAAAGGACAGACTGTGGAAATATAGATTTTATCTTACACGAGACAAAAAGGTTAGTTAATTAATTAACTTCAAAGCAGAGTCAAAGTTGCTATTATTGTGGATTTCATTGGATCATCAAGATTCAAAATTTATGTTTTTGTTTTTGTTATAATTTGTAGGCTCTTACCAAGTTTCTCAAGTGCGTCGTATGGTCAGACTCTACAGAAGCAAAACAAGCAGTTGAGCTGCTTCCAAAATGGGCCGATATTGACATTGACGATGCCTTGGAGCTTCTTGGTGCTAATTTTGAAAACAGGGAAGTCAGGAAATATGCTGTCAATCAATTACGGAAAGCTGATGATGACGTAGGTAAAATTTCAAATTGAATACATGGCGATTTACGTTTGATTAATATATTGACTGTATTTGGTTCAGGAACTACTGCTATATTTATTACAATTGGTGCAAGCCCTAAAGTTTGAAAATATAAGCGATAAATCACACGAATCAAGTTTGGCTGAATTCCTAATCGAGCGAGCAATAAAGAATCCAATACTCGGAAATAATCTTCACTGGTAACTATTGGTCAATATTTGGTTCCTTGGCTTAACTTTTTTAACTATTGTTTGTATTAAGGTATCTCATGGTCGAGTGCGAAGATAAAACGGTTGGGAAAATGTACGCGAAGGTTGTTTATAATTATATGAAAGCAATGATAGAGGTAATGAATTATTACACTTGGTTTTTAGATATGTGATAACTATCAGCTCAACCCATTCCTATAATTAGACACCCCAGCGTAGAGATATTCTATACAAACAAGGTTTACTCATTGATACCCTCTCGTCAATATCAAAAGAGATAAGACTTATGAGAGACACAAGAGCTAAAAAGGTTGGTTTGTGAAAAGGAAAAATAGTTATAAAGATATAGTGTATTAATAGAATGTATCATATTTAGATCGAGAAACTAAGAAACATTATATCAGATCAAAAGAAAGATCTTTTATCATTTTCACCACTGCCATTGCCACTTGATGCAAGAGTTACAGTGACAGGAATTATACCAGGTTGTTATGTTTGTTGGATCCACTTTTGTATAACTTGTCCATCGACCTTATATAATTACTAACGTCTTGTGTCCGCAGAGAAGACGACCGTGTTCAAAAGTAATCTTTTCCCACTGAGACTTACATTCTCATGCGCAGACGGGAGTGAATATCCTGTAAGTTCAATTCGTTTGTCAACTCAGCCTAAGTTCTTATTTATATATATATTTTTTTCAATCTGCAAGTTTCACTTATTTCTTAAATGTTTTCCTAGGTAATTTTCAAAACTGGCGATGACCTACGTCAAGATCAGTTGGTAATTCAAATCGTCACCTTAATGGATAAGCTCCTCCGCAAGGAAAATCTTGACTTGAAGTTGACACCGTATAAAGTTCTTGCAACGGGGTCTGACCATGGATTAGTGCAGTTCATTCCGTCGTCATCGCTTGCCAACGTGTTGAGTGATTTCAACGGAAGTTTATTAATGTTCTTAAGAGCTCACCATCCCGAAGAGAAGGCAGTGGGAACATATGGGGTAGCACCGGCTGTGATGGATACTTATGTTAAGAGTTGTGGTATGTGGTTTACCGTACGAAATATGATGAGGAAACGGGAATTCTTGACTTCTATAGCTGATAATATCTCATCTTTCGTAGCTGGGTACTGTGTGATTACTTATCTTCTGGGGGTTGGAGATCGTCATTTGGATAATCTCTTGTTATCTCCTAATGGTTTGTCATCTGCTTTAACAATGCATTAAACTTTGTTGTTATTTATATCGTTCTTATCTATGTATTTGTTGTTTTTTTCCTTGCAGGAAATCTGTTCCACGTAGATTTTGGTTTCATTCTTGGACGTGATCCCAAACCATTTCCTCCACCGATGAAACTTTGTAGGGAAATGGTGGAGGCTATGGGTGGAGCAAATTCACCACAGTATCAGAAGTTTAAAAGTTACTGCTACACTGCATTTAGCATACTGCGTAAGAATGCTAATCTTATCCTCAACCTGTTTGCCCTTATGGTTGATGCCAATATACCCGATATTAAAATTGAGCCTGATAAAGCTGTCATGAAGGTGATTAAATACGTTTCTGTAGTATTGTATAGATATATATATAGATACTAATGAGATGGTTTTGCAGGTACAAGAGAAGTTCCGATTGGACCTTAGCGAAGAGGAAGCGATAAAATACTTCCAAGCATTAATTAATGACTCTGTCAGCGCTTTATTCCCTCAAGTCATTGAGACTATCCACAAATGGGCCCAATACTGGAGGAGGTAGAATATCTAGTCACTAGAATATTTTTTATGTCTTTGATTGAATATTTATCTGTAAGTGTATTTGTCAAAAATAATTATTTTGGCGTGTTATAAATTCGAGTGTAGAAATTGGAAGTTATTAATTTTTGTGCAAGAATTTGAAGAGAGAATACTACAAATTTTAAGTATTTGGATAATATTTCAAATCCCAAGTCCTGATCAAATCGCTGGCTGTCTGATCTCTTTACATTAATAAACACATATAAAAGTAATGAACAAGCTTCCAAACACCTCATTGCAATTACCTTAAGTGTTCGCGTTCAAGCGACAGACTTCCGTTCAACTCGAACATCATTTTTATGCTTTTTCCAGCACTCTCTGAATTTCTCCAATTCTCCTCGACATAATCTCCAATCCCGTTTGTCCGCAAAACAGAGTTGCAATTCTTCGTTTTCCTGAGAGCAGCCTGTTTGCCTTATGGTCGTCTCATAGAAGTCCTCCTCTTCGGTTTTGTTGCTGACCGCGGACCGAGTGCTCGTTGAATTGTTGTTTGACATAGACTCTTATGCTTTCGATAATCGGAGCTTTGGTTTATCCTGTCTGGCTGTTAAGCCCAATTCGTTGACTTGATAACAAAAATGTCGATGTCGATTAAATGATTACTTATCATGCTTCTCTTACAACTCCTGTAAAATAGGTTGATTAAAATGATTATTGTGAAACGTTCTTTTCTAGGATGCAATTTTGTATAGTTCCTTCCAATATAATAATCAATTAATAAAATAAAGCTAGCCTAATATGATGCTTTTGCAGAGTAAACTATGCTCGATATAACGATAACAGCGTTAATTATCAATATTAATATCGCGAACGATGTTATTGTGAGATTTATTACCGATATGAATGTTACGATATCGCATAAATTAATGTGACAATCCCGAAACATAGAACGGGTCATAACATTGTTAAAGTACTAAATCGCTCTATTACTATAGCGGGTTAATATTAAATCCGACTTATTTTAAATATGAGATTTATCTGACTTATCGAGTACCATCATTTAAACCAATTATATTACATACTATTTCGCGTTTTTAAATTCAATTAAAAGAATAAAGACGAGAAAGCCCGGTGTCTTCACCGACGATGAGCTTAGTTGCTCACGAATACCTGCTGATCAGAAAAGCAAACCTGATGAGGCCGAAACGCATCTTAAAGTAGCTCACGATAATTCGGAAGTTTAATCGAAACCCGCATGCAACATCTGTACTGAAGCTATAATAGGCATGGCCAGCCACACCAGCCACATATCTTTGGTTGTGTCCCACATGATATCACACACGAACCCGAAAATGTTCACAAATAAAATGTCGGTCATTGTACAGTATGTGCCCGTTATGCTTTTTCACATCATTTTTCCATAATTCTAATAATGATCAGGGCCCGTCCATTTACATTAATGCCTTTACCCACAAGAGTGCTTTGGGCAGAACGCAACTTCGGTTCATGTACGCGCGTATTTGCAATAAATACACGTCATACTTGGCGATATCCGTTATATAGTCCTCCAGTCACACAAAACAGACTTTATAATGCGTACCCTGCTCTGGATACAAGTTACATAAAACCGAAAACTTACTTTGGTCTGGGAACAACGGGTCACGTCGAATCGAAACACTATTCGCCCAAACATAACGAAGTCATTGAATTCTTAAACAGCAACTTCCAATTTCCTCGGAAAACAGCCAATGCTGAAGAGCTTGCAATACGTTGTCCCAAATGTCGACCTAGGAAAGGCACATACTACACAGCAATAATAAGAACTGACAAAGGAACATTTAAATGCAGTGATTGTCAAACAGTTGGGCTGTGGTATGAATATACGCGTCGATTTAATGATTCAGAATTGTCTAAATTGTTCAGTACCATTGAGAGTTTAGGCTTTCGAAGTAATTTTTCCAAACCGAAGGAAGAAATCGAGCGCTATTCTACGCTAATGAAAGATTATCCCGAGGTTATAAAGTGGTTCGAGAAATCAAAGGGGTTGACACAGGAAACATTGGAGATCTTTAAAGTGGGCGTTGCAAAGTATCATAATATCGATCCTTCAAATTCATTACGTGAAGAATTTTGTATTACATTTCCGCGATATGCGCCATACTACAACCATGCTGATCAAATTGAACCGGATAGTCAAATTGTAAGGATAAAGGCCTGGTCAACGGAAAGTGAAGAAACAGTTGCTTTTGATCCACCAAGTACAGTTACAGGACTATTCGGATATGACTTGGTGCCACATCATGGAGAAGAAATCATTCTGGCCGGAACTGAATTTGATGCAATGGCTGCCTATCAGGAGACAAAGATTCCCTCAACGTGTCTTCCGCATAACTCTTATCAACTTTCTATTGAGGTTCTTCCGTTACTTGAAAGATTCTCCAAGATATATCTATGGTTCGATGATGATGTGGCTGGTCAAGATGCGGCTGAGAAATTTGCAGAGAAATTGGGCATAGAACGATGCTTGATTGTGAAATCATTGAATGGTCAATTGGATGGACCTGTCAACGCACAACAGGCTTTGGAAGCTGGAAAAGATCTCAAAGAGATTATTAAAAGCGCAAAGCCACTACAACATGAGCAAATCATTGGATTTGAGTGGTTAAGGGATTCGGTATACCGTGAGCTTGTAAATCCAGATCAAGTTCAAGGGGTCCAATCAATTGATTTACCAGGATTGAATCAAGTTCTGAAGGGTCATCGTCGTGGTGAATTGACCATATTTACTGGAACAACCGGGGTTGGGAAAACTACCGTTCTTAGTCAGCTCTCTCTAGACTATTGTAAATCAGGTGTCAACACGTTGTGGGGAAGTTTTGAAATTCCTAATGTAAGACTGGCCAAAAAGATGTTGCAGCAATTTGCAGGAAAGGAGTTAACGAAGGAGAATATTAAAGAATTTCCAATATGGGCTGAAAAATTTCAACAAGTGAGTTTATTTTGTATGTTTGTTGTAGACTTTTGCACATTACTTACTCTGATTTCTGTTGGGTATAAGCTGCCAATGTATTTTTTGAAATTCTTTGGCAGCACTGAGCTAACAAAGGTCACTGCTGCTATGGAGCATGCAATATATGCCTTTGATGTGCAACATATTATTATAGACAATTTACAGTTTATGTTGGCAGAGCAAGCCAGATATCATAATGATCGTTGGGAACTTCAAGATCGCACCGTTGGAACGTTTCGAAGGATTGCCACAGAACGAAACGTACATATAACATTGGTTGTTCATCCCAAAAAGGATGAAAGGGAATTCTTGGACATTAACTCTATATTTGGATCGGCCAAAGTTACACAAGAGGCTGATAATGTCGTTATTCTACAGCGAAGGATCACAGAGAATGGCGAAATCAGATACCTGGATATCAAGAAGAATAGGTAAGTCTCTGTTTCGATTGATCTATCATTGTCTTTGCTGACTTGTGCTTGATTACCAGATTTGATGGTACCTTGGCTGCAATACCTTTTGAGTTTGACCATGAAAGTTTAAAGGTAAATTAACATTCTTATTATTTTTTTGAGCATATTAATTAATACACCGCCTAACCTACATATCAAACGTAGATCCGTCAACTCACAAAATTAGATCATGACAGCCGCTTGAAGATAAGAAGAAAAGCTCATTAATAAATCCTTGGACTTTCTGTCTGGTAAATTATAGACTAATACTACATTATTACACGTACCTGCACTAATTGTCAGGTTTATGCCTTTTTGATTAAAAGGTTAATTTTAGCGTGTTCTGATCAATTATTTGCAGACTATATATGGTTGACTTGCCTGCAATTTGGATTCGCTTTATATCACAAGTAAATAGCCCCAATGTATATAGTTCTCCAGAATCGCATGAAATTTAAATGACCGTGAAGGTTTGCGTTCTTTTATTAATAACACCTACGATTGGAACGCTGAAGGTGTTCCTACTTTAAAAAGGACATTGCGTGACCGTGAGTTGGTTTTGTTTGGCAGATCGCTTGTCGATTTCTTGACCATAAGAATGTACAGTATATTTTATCAATCAATCGCTGATGGAGCATAATCCAACGTCATACGTTTAACGTTTAACATTTATGGTAGACACTCTTATTAAAAATGTCTCATCCTACCAATTCTGAAGTCATACAATACTTGGTTCCTTTAGCCCGTAATAATACTATCAAGAACGGTTATACCTCTGAGAAAAGGAGCGATTTACTTGTACGCCATGTATACAACAGCCGCAAGGTGTAAATGGGAATGCAGTAGATTGTGTTAATTGCAAGGAACCGTGTTCCTGCAGTGACTGGCAGAGTCTGCACGAAGAAACAGATCTCAGTAGGCTCTGAAGATGAGAATCGATTTACGAGTTCAAGAAAGAGGTAGAAGTATGGAAAGAGGAAGGTTCAAATTTGCCCGGTTACAAACTAGGGATAGAAGAAAAATCGGTATAGAACACCGATTTTTTACTTATCGTTATATGTAGTGGACTTCTTATTGATTGCACGTGTAATTCCATTATAGTGTGAAAGTTATTATAATGCTCAAAAAATTGACACATATCACTTCTTTCTGACATTTACCATAGGCAACTCCTCAGATTTATTAACAAAATTACAATGCCAAGCGTAAATGTTACGAGAAGGTCATAGGATACCAATTGTTATGCACACAAATGTTCTACTTATCAATAAGGCTATCCAGCGCAATTGTTTCTTTGGTTGAAAAATATGCAGATCAATCCTTCGCGAATTTTCACCTTCTTCCCCTAAAAATAGTATGTACAATATCTTATCTGTAATACTATTAACAAAGTCTCTTTACGTAAACACTGTTCAGCATTAATAACGCGAGTTAACTATACGGTTCCATTATTATTAATATGTGAAAATTGTGACCCAAAAAAACTTTTTATAATGCGATTTTCTTGACTGTAATTAGTGACTCTATAAAGAAGTGTGTAAGATTTATAAATTTAGAGCTTGCATTATTAGAATTATGCTTTAAAGCTGGTGAGAGTCCACAGTAGACAAGATTCACGACCGCTCACCAACGATAGATAACAGATAACTTGATATTATATTATTATTATTGCTAAATGCACAGCTGTTCTATTTTTAATCAGATCACGTTCTATCAACCTTTTTTAATGGTCGTCATCACCGATCACTTACCATGCTTTCTAATTGGTGGTAGTAATAATATTTGCAATACAATAATAATAAATAATAACAATTGATTTAAGTAAGCCCATTATTATTATTATTTATATTATCATAATAAATATAATAATAATGCTGTTGATTTATTATCTTAATCGCGAGGGACTTTTATTCACAATTGATTTATTATCTTGTTTCTCGAACAATAGACATTTCTATAGCATGTGACTGTTAATATTTGCACCTGTGATTTGTACTACACAAAGTTGTGGAAGTAATCATCATCAAAATAGATCAACAACAATCGCTTAAAGTTAACCCTGATTTTAGAAATGATCTACGACATGCAATCCTATAAAAAAGGAACAAAAACCAACCACCTTAGCAACTTTTTACATTAGAACATGGACTTATTTAGAGCAATAAAAAACAAGATCACTGGATCGACGAGGGAATTTGTCAGAGAGTCTTTTACTGTCAGTACTCAGCATATGCCTGCTAGCAAAATGACTGTGAAGTCCATGGATTGTGGAGAACTGGCAAAGGAATCTATTACAGAAGGTGTCTTCGCGAACTGGGCCAAGACCTCAGAGTGGTCGCGATTCATATACATTTATAACAAAAGGTATATTGAAATACGCGACAGGTCCACCTTTGCCATCCAATATATAATCGATATACATCTATATAAACGAAATAACCAGGTAATTAGCGTCTCTTGATAACAAGTTGGTTATTTATGAAGCTGTGGATAGACTAGCAATTCGGTGTAGACTTGTGTTGGCTTAATTGTTTAATTAACCCGTAATATTTTTTGCTCAAACAATAACCGATATATATCTACTGTAATCACAGAGATTATGTGAAATTGTTGCCGTCACGGATTGCGTCCTCGAAGGTCCATGTCTTTTAATATGCACCACAACACGCGATAACGACTATACGTTCCTTCTTTTCGACATATGGGGGAAACTCGTAAGCGAGCTGAACATAGTCTTCCCTCCTGAACTGATGCCACTTAATTCGATGATTATCTCGCAAGGCGTTCACTATGTGAGCTAATTACTATGCCTTTGTTATTAAGTCTTTTTATAACTGTAATTTGACTAACTGGCTTCTAAACAGGAACAAGATACCAAATGGCTAAGAGAACAGGGACACAATCCCGCGGACAAGTACTATTTGATTGTGTGTGCCGCCGTTGGAGGAGTGGCCGTATGGCGATTATTCCCATCGCGAGACGCTTACGACGAGTATTACCCGACATACACTATAGCTGTAAGAATCACAGTTGATTAATAATAGAATGCTTGTCTGTGGGACCGATAAATAACAATGTTACTATTTAATAATTCAGGAGAATCATCATTCAGGGTTAAAAGACGGAAGCGCCGTAAGTTTGATCGAAGTCAACTGCAAGCGTAATTCAATGACTTATATTTACTTACAAGTTATCAAATTGTTTCCCATATAGTGTACGGCCATAAGCATATCAATACCGACAACATCTCAAGAGCGTGGCAGGACAAATAAGGATACTGGTGCAAAGCTGATTTTTGCAGGAAGCGCTCAAGGAAATGTAGAGATATTTACATATAAGCCTGAAGGGCGAATAGATTCTCTTCGGTCTATTGCTACACCATCAGCTGGAGGTACTTTACAATAGTTTGTCAACAAACCGCGTCTATTTTTTTATTTATTTGTGTATTCAAATTTATGAATCCCATCAATTTATTCGCTTTTTGCAACTAGCTCCAATAACCCATCTATGCTTTACCCCGGCATCCATACCGACAACGCATTTTTTCGGTACACTCACTGTCGGACATTGCGGAACCAAAATTTCCATACCACATCGTGCTGACGTTAATCCTGACGCCATGGATATCGCATTAACTGACGAAGGCAGCGTAGCGATTACCGAGGAGGAAGATAGTTATGATGTAATAAATCACGACGCTTTTGAAGATACAAAGGCTATGCCTGCCTCTATTTCAGACGGTGCATCGAAAAGGAAATTGCCGTTTGTAGTATTATACGCTATTGGAGACGATAATGTTGACACAATCGGCAACGCATCCGTGGGAGAAGATGGAGAGAATGGGGAAGTAACTGCTTTAGCAGCTGGAAAGGTGGGGAAAGATCGTGATGAGCTTGTTGCGTTTGCTGCGGCAATACAAGTGGAAGTAATGCAAGATAAGAGGATAAGGAACAAGAAAAAGTTGATTAGTGGACGAGTGCAGGGAAATGATCATCAGCTTCAAGTCAGGTTGACAGATGTTACGAATATTGGAGCCGTTGTATTGGTAAGTTAATAGGGAATATATTAGAAATGGATATGGAAAAAGAGCATCCATGTGCGGGTCAATCGTTAACTTGTTGTTGGTCCTGTTTTTCATCATTGCATAGGATATTGATGTCCCGTCTAGTGATTCTAAATTATTCCTCTTGACTGAGGATCGCACTCACTACTATGATCGGGATCACGAAATGGATTTGATGACAATCAATTACGATACAGTGAGCATTTTGATGTTTAGACTATGTTACACTTTTTTTTATGTCGTTAAAGTAATATTTCTGTAGGCTCCTCGCTTCGATGAATGGTTTGAGGATTGGGCATACGAACCAGAAAGAATAAACGATATCAACGCAAGACGAAGCAGGATGGAAAATGAGTTAATGTTTGATAAACTATTACAACATGCAGTGGTTCCGGGTGAGTTAAAGTCGAGTTCTCATTTAATTCTATTTTATGATTATTGATGGCTAATAAGATTTGATGCTTCAATTTTATAGTCGAATTATATCCTCCACAGACTTCGCAAGACTTTCGTGCGTTAATTGATTCCATTTTAGCAAGTCAGGATTTGGGAGAACTACGGCGGCATTGCCTTGTATCCTTGTGCTTTAATTACGCTTGATGTGGAGTGCTGTAATAGTTATGCATATTATATGTTCTGAACTTTTTGGTCGCATGTTAGATCTATTATCTGTTGAAGGATGTTGAAGGCTCTGGAAAAAGTCAAAAATATGCGGCTCGATTCTTAATTCCTCCTCAATGGCTGTGTCTAATGGACGGATATTGGTATTTAGATCATCATCAATTTGAGGTAAATTAAAATCGACTGGAATGGGATCGAAGTTCACTTTACTTGTGTACTAATCTTTTTGAATCCACAGGAAGCAATAAGATTCCTAAGTGAGCCCGAAGTCATGGTTGATTATCCTGAAAAGATACTCCAGACTCTTGTAAACAATGCTGGACCTCGTATAGCCGTCCTTTTTCTCAATATATCGCATGAATGGTTTGATAATGACGATTTCCACACGAAAGAAATGGATATTCTATGTCAGATTGATTTATGTGATGCTCTAATGTTCCAAGTAAGTATGAGAGCAATTAATATGTATACAAAGAGAGTTTTGATAGGTGACTAAATAATATTTCTGATTAAAATAATAGAGGGAGAAAGTACAACCAAACAAAGAGATAACGGGGGACTCTTTGTTTCACCAATTACTTGACTTTGTATTCTCTAGTAAGTAATCCATCTTCTAGAAAGAGCGGGATAAGAACGAATTTGTGTTATCATATTATCAATAGTTTTCGCATAACTTCAATGCATTTCGTACTTACTCGGTCCAACTTCTCTAATGAAAAAAAAAAAGATCCCAGGCCCAAGCTACTAAATCAATTGCTTGACCTTCCATACAACGCGGCCGAAACAGAATACCTGCGAAGTTATTGCAAAAAGGAAAATCGGCTTGCTACCAAAGACTTTCTCGTTATGTTCGATCTTCATCATGGAAATCATGCGGCGGCAATCAGACTGCACGAGAAGATGGTTCGCGATATGTCAATACAAGGGGTGCCAAAACATCTCGCCAAGAGAAGCAAAGTAATTGGAGAGATTAAAAATATTTTGCCACCTATTGAATTAAAAATCATGGAAGATGAAGAAGAGTTGGAAATAGTTGAACGTGAGGAGGATCGAAATGTTGAGGAGGAACTGCAATGTACGTATGCACATGATTATTTTTATTGTTACTGTTAAACGTGCTAGACACACATCTAACTCGCCCAATTTTCACTGCTTACATTCAGTTTTAGTCCCAACGCCATCTTCACCAATCGAAACACCTCCTCAAACGACCCCGCGACTACCCAATCACTCACCGTTTTCTCCCCGTTCAGAAACACAAAAAGGACAGAAGACACCCTGTTCTCCATCAACGTCGATGACAATAACGCGAGAATCTTTACGTAAACGAGTGCCGAATAAACATCCATATCCAACATCATCATCAAAATCAAGACATTCGAGATCAGCTACTCAGACTCCTGTCAATTCATCGCATGGACGACGAGCGGCATCATCAAGCAAGATTAAGAATGCTGCTGGGACAGATGGAGAAAATAATGCTAATACGACACCTAATAATTCTATAGCGAGTGCAAAGTCGTCATCCAGTGTCGATAGGAGAGTTACACGCAGCATGACTAAGGCTGGATACAATGATTTTACGAATACTTCATAACTTGTTCACGCAGTTTTCTTTGTATATGATTGCTTATAATTTTATTTTTAGAGAAAAGTAACACTTAATAAAATACATACTCCTAATGCATGTCTAATCGTCTCACTTTTATGTCTTCTTATTGTGTGAAAGTCTAGGCTTGATAAAGATTGACAATCTCATATCTCCCGAGTTAGAAATCATGAGAAATGGATTTGTGTATTGAGGATACGAGACAAGAATTGACACATCAGTTACTGTTACTAGAGTTATAAGCTAATTAGCAGGATGGATATATTAATATACAGTATGGGACAAAAAATCTTGCCCTCAGTAAATTTACAATAACTTTACAATGAGCAAATAAATTGGGACTCAAAATACCTCATTAAAACTGTAAAACGCGCAGATTTTATTTATAAGAATTAAAAAGGAATTCGTTCACCATTACTTTCAATACTTTTCATCGAGTTTACCAAATTTTTTACAATTGAATCCGGAATACTATCCCACTCTTCTACCATGTGCCGCCTTAATTCATCAAGATTTGTTGGTCTTCGCCTTTCTACATTAGTTTTAACTATGCTCCATAAATTTTCTATTGGGTTGAGATCGGGACTATTCGACGGCCAGTCAATAACTATGGGCATATTGGCCTGAAGAAATTGTTTAGCGACAGAGCTGTATGCTTCGGATCGTTGTCTTGTTGGAAGCGCCAGACTCTTCCGAGCATTTGTCGTATTTCAGGTAAGTGCCTCTGAAGAATTTCAACGTAGATTGGCCCTGTCATTATGCCTTGAAAGCAATAAAGACAAAAAATTTTGACACGATTTTTTGGGATAGGACGGAACGTTCGGGCGCCTTTATACCATTGCGCTATGTGGTATTCCGAAATAACTGAAATGCAGTTTCATCCGTAAAAAGGGTTTTCTGCCAGTTATCATTAAGGTGAGCATAAGCCCATTCAATTCGCATTCGTTTATGATTATCGGTAAACATTGGGCACATTATTCTTATAGCCCAGTGTCTTGAAATCGTTCTATACGATAGTTCAAGACCTTTTTCGGCACCATCTTTCGAGATGAGGCAGTTGGATCTCGCTTCAAATATTGACCGATGGCCTTGGATGCACTGGCAGTGATTTTTTTAGGACGACCGCTTCCTTGTTTACGTGCAACACTGCCAGTGTCTTTTATTTTTTTAACATTATATTTAATTGTCCTAATTGGTACGTTAGGTTTTTATGAATTTCTAGAGGAGATCGTATCCCTGTGCGAACATTTGAATTGTTGTTTGAAAATAATTGACAATGTAACGGTTCAAAGTGCAATGAGAAAACAAAAACTTACAAGACGCGATACGTGTTAAATATATAGTAAACATTATTTACTTCAAATATCATATGTATTTTGACTTTTCATTATTGTAAGATTTATTTACACAACTAAATCAAAGTAACGATCGCGAAATGACATTGACAGGCAGTAAGGCAAGTAACTCAGAGTTGTCACGAGGAAATAAATTACAAAAATCTTCTATTTTATGACTTTACACGAAAAATTGATAATGATCGACAATATTAGCAATATTAATATTAATATGTAGCACTAACGCTAATTAAAGAACGCAACAGAAAACGCAATAAATATTTTCGCTATGGCCTCGCTCACAAGGCTTACTTTGGGTTCGGTCGTTCCAAAGGTATATGCATAAGTGAAAGGTTTATAGCAAGATACACTATCGATAAAGCGTTAAACATCTACCATTTTATACTGACCAGTTGGCGAGGGGATATGCTACTGCAGGAGGAAGTTCAGTACAGGTGCGAGATTTTCTGTTGCTTATCCCAGCATTGCACGTTTAAGCTCATGCCCTTTCGTTTGTTTTTTTTTTTTTTCAGGTTCCTCTCGTTGTATATGGCATAGACGGTCGCTACGCAACAGCTCTGTACAGTGCTGCAGCTAAAAAGTCAAATACAAAGACTGTCGAGGGAGACCTAAAACAAATCGAATCGGTTATTACCAAAAATTCGACAATTAGGACTTTTCTCGCTGATCCGTCAGTAGCGCGCGAAGCCAAAAAAGAAGGTGTAAGGAGATTGCTCAAACAAGGGAAATATTCAGAGTTGACAAACAATTTCTTTGACTTGCTAGCCGAGAATGGTCGACTTGGGGAGACAGAAAGAGTTATTCAAAAGTATCTACAAATCATGGTTGCTGAGCGAGGAGAAATACCTATTACAATAACTAGTGTTGGAGTAAGTTGCTGGCTATGGACAAAACTAATTGGCTTTTGTTGCAGATTGATATGTAGTCTTATAATGTTACACCCTATGCATAGGAGCTCGATAAAAAAACCGAGACCAGACTGAAGACATTACTTAGTAAAAGTCGATTTGTTAAACCAAATCAAACACCGATTATAGCCAACAAGGTACTCACAATCTTTAGTTTTCATTGTCCAAGTTTGGTCTTCGTCGATTAGAATTTTATTTATTTATTTATAGGTTGATCCAAACATCCTGGGCGGATTTATCATTGAGATTGGAGAGGATCAAACAGTCGATTTGTCGGCTGCTTCTCGGATTGCAAGATTAAATAAGCTCCTGACTGATGCTATTTAAGATTGTCAAGCGACGTGTTTTTGGCCCTAATAAACTTTATACCTTTCATATGATATACTAACGGTTTCTGAAGTGACTACCGAGTGTACATATAGAAAGCACGGAACTTTTGTTTGGTGAATAAAAGAATAATTGGAAAAGCATCTTCAAAATGACATTCTCCAATTGGCTAATGAAAAGAAAAGAATTAACCCAAAGAATTAAAGAACTACAGGAACAGGAACAAAATAATGCTAGCCTGATATAAATTCATATGACTCGACAATGTTATACTCTCGGTAACCGAAAACGTTTTCTTTGGAAAGAACCGCGTTTATTTATTCCTCTTCTATTGGCAGTGAGGTGGCTTTGACGTGATGATATTCTTTGCTCAATGTATGATCAAGTATAGCATTATATTTAACATCATGCACATCTCTTCATCCCGAATACCTTATCAACATTATTACTTTTTAGATTAACCATTACCGCTGCCCCATTTCCATTTTATGCTCTCAAAGCAAGTGAGAGTGCATCAAACCACCAAAATCCACCAGCTCTGCCTATTCCACCCACCAAAGTAGCTATAAAATCTCTATGCCTATCAAATTCCCTTCGTATTCTCTGCAGACCCTCAACAAATTCTTCATGATTAACTTCTTTTGGAACATAATTATCTACATCGTTTGCAAGTTCCTTCTCTTCATCTTCGATTATAAAGTCATCAAAGTCTGAGTCGGAATCAGAATCAGAATCAGAATCATAGAGTGAGAATGTGTGAGGGTTTATAGTAGTACGACGATTGTCGGACGGCGACTCGCAAGGAATAGTATTGGTTTCCATATAACGGTTATAGAGCGTGCTGAATTGAAAGGTTAGATTAAGGATCGAGAAGACTGATTTGTGAATTGATGATGTCTTTCAAGTAGCATGAAGAGATGAGATTTGAAGAGAAATTGTCGTGAGTTTAACGTAGATATCCAGTTAAATGTCATCTCAACTAGTCAGGCATACCTTCTGTGTTAAAAGACATCTAGAATGTATACGTTGTGTATATTTTTCATGCAGCATAATCATCTTATCAATGTCGAACGCCGTCGTAAGATCTTCGTGAAATTTCTGTGTTTCTGCATAGAGAATCTATCCAGTATGACAGATAATATCTATTAGTTTTTTTCCTGCAATCTTTACCTGGTAATAATCATATAACTCAGTTACTCGCCGTTCTCATCAAATAGTCCCAAATGACATTTAAAAACCAAATCAATTTCGTCCTGAGTCCATAGAACATCATCATAGCGGAAGTCTTTTCTTCGCCGGCGCCCATACGAGAAAATGCAAGCCGCTCCATAAAAAATTTTACCCTCTTTATTTGTAGTAAAAGTGCGAATATTTTCTTGTATATTTGTAGCGTACGTGATTGTATTATATTATCTAATGGCCAGGGAACCTGTAACACAATTTAAGGCAAAGTGAGCATGATCAATACATTGATGGCCAATATTGGTTTTACTGGCTCTCTTAAATCATCACACAATTGTGAACAAACACTCGAATAACTCACTCGGTATTCAATTGTGATCTTCTCAAAGACTTTGACGGTAGTAATATCAGGTTTCTTTCCCGCCACATCATCAATCCAAGCACTGACAAGATCGCTGTCCAACCATTTGGCTCCAGCAAATATACCCGATACCATATCATTAAAGACGTAGCTATCGTACCACATTTGATTCCTATCGATCTATAATGGAAAAAGAAATCAACAACAATCTTCATCATTAACACATGCTTGAATGAACATTAAATTTAACCAACCCTCTCGAATATAACATCACATAACTTCCGCATTGTATCTCCTTCTTGTAACAAGTATAATCCCGATAATGCCCTAATATGTCTCCAGAGAGAACACCTTTCCACTAATGTATTATATATACATTTCCCAATATGCATATAACGAGGTTCAAGATAACTTTTAAATTGTTCAGCAAAACGTTCGTTAAACGGATGGAATGTTGTCAAATCAGATACAACGTTTGGTCCGAGTACCAACGGAGTTGACGGTCCAGCCTGCAATTAGAAACTGTCAATAAATCAAATAAAGGAATTCAGGTAAATTACATATTCGCTCTCATTACGAGGGTCAAAAAATATACCTCGTTCGAATTTAACGTTATCAGCAGATTCCTTCCTTTTCCAGAGAACAAAATCCTCTCGTAAAACGCGTTCAAAAACTCCGGCATCAGCGATTGTGTCGAATCTATCCCATTCTCAACTACATTTATCGTGCGAACCTTAAACATCTCTGCCCAGTAGTTAGATGACGTCTTTTCAATAGTAGAATTTCTTGCGTCCGAAAGAAAATAGCTCATGAGATGTTTGTCATTACTTATCAGATGAGCTTTAAATAAATACAGAAATCGCTTACCCTACTATAAAGAACTCATCTGCCGGATCGTTTAATATGCCGTTACATATCCAATCATCAATCATACGAACATATGGAACAAGGGTGTTGTAAAGGTGTTTTTCAAGCATTGTGCGTGTAGACTTGTTGCCGCAAATCTGATGATGGGTGACTTCTCGGAATAGCCGATTAAGAAGAGAATAAGTCACCAGTGAAGGCTTAGTATGGGTGTTGAGTGAATTATCCCTTGTGTCCTCCAAAGATGTTAAGTGATATGGAGAAACATCTGCAGCATTACAAAAAGGAATAAATATTGATTTACTGGACATTGTAAACATCGATATATATAGTTATTACCGGAAAGATGCGAACTAATGACAATCTCATGGACGATTTCGAATTCTATAAAGTCATTCATGAGCTGCTGTTTTAAACATAAAAGCGACACTTGCACATCATCGTCTTTCGGTTTCTGGTAAGCCGATTCCAAGTTAGCCAATTTTCCTTCAAAACACCACAGCATTTTTAATACAGAGTATGCAAACGCTTGGGCTGTCTGGCCGTATAGCGAGCAATGCTCTAAGCAGATCCTAGAGTGGTAAACCACGAGGTATATCAAGAGTAAATTTCTGTGGACAATACAAGATGTCGAAAAAAAAACAACAGTTTTCCTATACCGCATTGAAACGCCTCGAAGTCTGCTCAGGATGTTTCCATATTTGCAGAAATATTCCAACATTTCTTTAAATGCCAATTCTGTCAAGTGCATCAACGTCGCATTAATCTCGACCTATCTTCAAATTCATAAAGACATTTAATTTCACTCTTGAAAACAATTCATGATATTACTCCCAACACTTTTCGCGATATATCAATAGCTACATACCCTATACTCCTCCTTGACCAGACGAAATAAAAAGCTCGGTCGGGTCGATAGCATGAATAGCACTTCGCGGACAGCGTCAATCTCACTAATGTATCGTGTACGCGTCGCGTCATAAAACTCGTAGCGCGGATCTTCATTTTTTATTTTTGCTAATGATGGAGCTAACGGCAGGCAATACAATTTATGGCTTTAGAATTGGAAGTAAATACTGTTTATAAATCATAACAATTTCAGACTTGAAATTACCGAACGTATTCGCATTGCTAAAATCAAAACGACTCGAGTGATTCAAACGAATGCTGCCCTTATAAGACGAGGTCCAGTACTGTCTCGATTTCAGTTCTTTGACTAAGTCTATACATTGCCTTTTGGTCGTTATAAATTCCGAGTGGTCGTTATCAAGATCCCTCCAAAGCCACGACTTGTCGATAATGGCACTCTGTTTGCCGTCATTAGAATACGTAGAATTAAAGTTGTTTGCCGACATAGCAAACGCAACGAAATAATGATAAATTCCGAATTCACACGAGAAACCGCGGAGTGGCAGACATGTGACCAAAAATTCTAAAACAGGCACGCAAAAAGGTAATATAACGTTTACTATTGCTATTGCTGGGGGGAATACCTTTGATATTTAATTACTCTTGACTACGCGCTCAATAATATTACTAAAAAATTTATATTCTTCATCAACTAATGATAATAATAATGATAATGATAATAGCGTTGATCTACATCGGCGTGCGCATAGTTTGGTTCTATGGTCATCGAAGATGGTAGACAATGTCTTTGAGAATGACGTTTCTTTTTAGCAAAATAGCAAAGTTAGATTGGCGAGTTTTTCCCTAGACATCCAGCAAACTGCATTGTATGAAGCTGGTATTTCATTAAAAACAAAATACTTTTATCTGTTTGAACATTGTAATGATGATGAACGACGCTTTATGTTCTGGCAAGCATACCAAGTGATATGTTGTTATTAAGCCTTCAAGAAATTTATTATCTTAATGCTCTGATTTTTGCTAGTCCAAATACGGTTAGTCGTTTTTGATTTGTCACCAATATTATCGTGGCTGCCATCATGAAAACGAATTTTGGGATCTTTCTTCCGTGGTTATGGCTGGACCGAATTTAGAAATCTTCAAAGTATTTTAAACCATTTAATTAAGCTTTGTTGTATGCTTTGATTGATATATGTTTAACAGTTCCACTTTCTCCTGACAGTTTAGCGTCTACATATTCTTTCCAATCGCTATGATGTACTATTTCGGAGATCCCAAATTTTACGATAAACATATTAGAGGGGTATTGTAACTGACATCATTACCTTTAAGATTTTTAACTGAACAATTAAATAACCTCATTCATGCGTTTAACAGACTCAATTTTGGCCTGCTCTAGAGACGACAAATGTGAGCTTTAATACACATATATTTTGTTAGTACTTGAATTTGATTTATAGTTATTTCTATATATAACTGCACAGAAACCGCCAACGACCAAAGAAGACGCACGAATTGAATTTGAGAAAATGAAAGCAAGGATACAAGAGTCTTCTTCAAACAACTCGGGTACCTAACGACAGACAAGCGCCTGTTTGATAAACACGTGGGCATAGTATCAAATGTTTTGAATAGTTATCATTTACATTTTTATTCGTTCTCACGTATACTTTTCTGAAAAAGAAAATTCTCTATTAAACGCCCGCACGAATTTTGTACTAATCTACGAGAGTCCAACATAGGGAAGAAAAAAAACGCAAGATGAAATTGTTTACTAAAATCTGCTTCTGGAACTGCGCATAAATATGCTCCCATTATTACTCTCATATAATACTCTATTCTAATTCTTGTGCGGCCCAAGCATTCCTGCCCGGTCTTCTCTTCCAAATAAACATCATGCCATCAAACATCGGCACCAACATCTGCTCAGTCGTCGGATCCTCGGCCACATGTCGATTGAAATGTTGCAATCTTCTCCCAATTTTTTTGTACCTTTCATCCGTTTCTTCAGCTACCTTTAGCAATTTCTCTTCTTGTTTTGAGAACCTTTTCTTCGGAGGCCGATAGAACGGTTGCAGTTCCCGTGGATGTACGTAACCTTTGAATAATACTGTTAGAAGTGGGATAGTCGGTTAGGTTCAGTGAATATTGTTGCAAAGATTGCGTTTTTTGTACCGAGTTAGCGCCAATCGAACAAACGCGTGTAGGCAATAATATTTACCATTATCCACAACCATTAATCCATTTCTCGTGAGGAGATCCTTCTCCATGATGAGATCATAGTAATCTGTATACCCCGATTTATTTGCATCTGATCGTTTGGAGTGTCGTCAGAACTGGATTTTTTAATATTGGTTTTTAGCTAATTTATTGATTTCAATTATTAGCACTATGCCTATTATAATGAATCCTCACCAAGGAATATCAAGTCAAATTTCATCGAATCATCGAATTCGTTCATCCTGAACAATGATATCAGAGTTTTAATATCCAACCCGTTTTTTGAAAAGTCGACTAATCGATTCCGCGTCAAATCTTCTCACTGTATGTTTAATTCTATTCCTGACCAAATTCCAAATCCTAAGTTTGTAACTTACGTTTCCAAAGCCTTTCCGCATCTAATCTCAACAATTTTCTGCATCTTTGCCATTTGTATATGTTTTTTTGCCAGCTTAGCATAGATCGGATCCTTCTCCAGACTAAGCACATAGGGTTCCTTCCGTTCTTTAACTCCTTCTGCCAACGCAAGGGAGCTATAGCCTAGTAATGATCCAATTTCTAGTACTTTCTCTGCTTTCGTGATTCGCGTTACCCATGTCAGGAAAAGCGCTTGAGGTCGGGAAATCATTTGTTTAGCTTCTTCAGGGAAGGCATGCAAGCTGTTGGTGTAAATGTAATCCATATAGGCAGGACCGCGACTGGTATGTTTCTCGGTGTAGCTGAGAACATGCTCGTCAGCCAAGAATGGCTTTACGCTATAAGAAAGTGGGGTCGCATGGAAAAAGCGCTGGTGGTGAATTGAAGTGGGTAAAAAGGCCGTAAAGCGGCTATAAAAAGGAAGGATGGAGTACTGACATAGACGGAGGTGTTTTGGAAATTGCATTGTAAGGAACGTTGTAAGGGAAGAATATCTGTAAGCAACCGTTTTCCAAAAATTTGCAAGTGTCATGTGACACAAAAGTTTGTTTTGATAATTGCTTATATATATCCGGAGCCACGATTACTCTTGAACTGACGACGTGTCCGAGTGGTTAAGGAGTGTGACTAGAAATCACATGGGCTCTGCCCGCACAGGTTCAAGTCCTGTCGTCGTCGAATGACGTTTTTGCAATATCCAGTATTAGTATTAGTATGTTCAGATCGCTCCAAAATGTCGCAGATCGTAGAACATATTGATGTCTTCGCCTCATAGAATCCTTTGTCGTAACAGTAAACAGAAATAATTGACAAAATACGTCATTTTATTCGTTTATCGGGTCAATAATCCATTTATATTTAATCGAGTAGGTGATCTTTTCTACCTTATGATGAAGATTTGAAGAGGTGATAGAGGTATCAGGATCAGCACCAGATAGTTAATACAAGCAATAGTGATGATTGTGTGTTTCCAGTTCTCATCATCCAATCATGCATTCAACGTTAGTCTGCAAATAGCCCAAGTGCCTCTATGTCAGCGGCAATACGTTTATAATCTGATAGTAGTTCTATTTTGTAAGCATTCTTTAGTCATCTAATCTGTACATCGTGGCGGCGTATACCGAGCATTTGCTTACCAGGTACATCGACAACCTTAAATTCTTCAATCGGGCATTTTATGAAGCGGTCGATGGGTGGCGCTATCTAACAATGGAGTAATGATATTAGTCCTATCTGATCATTTGCGGTGATGGCAACTGTTTGTTACTTACATTGCGTGCACACTGTTGTCTATTATGGGATAACCGATGATACGAATCAACATAATAAATGATAATGGTAATATACATTACGGCACAGTGGATAGAGACATGAATAATAACAATAACAAACTACCAATGACCGAGATTATACTCGTTCATAGTATACTTGTATTAATTGTATATAATGCGCCTACACCATATGCATATTTAATAAATTCGAAAAGCGTTATACCTTCAAATATCACTTACAATGACGCTGCATCCATAGACGTCGATAACAGTAATTCAGTCGCATCACACAATTTTTCATTTCTGACATTAACGCTGTGGCAGTCTATCAACAATGCTTCATTCGTGTTTACTGTATTATGTTCATTTGACATCGACGATTTATCAATAGTCAATACTGTGCTCTCTTCATTAAAAACATTGGATGGTGATGGGTTGTTCACAACTGTCTCGCCTGATGTCTGTTTTGATTTATCTACAATAATATCGTTGGTCACTGTCTCTGTCTCTATGCCTTCGCGACCCACTTCTGTGTGATCAGTTGGCTTATCCTCACTATATCCAAGCATCCATCCAATTTTCTTATACGATGTATCAACAACATCCGTTATCATATGTAGCCCACTCCCCGCCACCCCTGCAGCTCCTGCAACACCGTATCCTATGGTACGACCTACACCAAGTGTTAATGATATTGGTAATGTATATGTCATTGTTAATGTTGATGCTAATTTTGAAGTAAATGGTGCTTGTTGTGGTTGCGTTTGTTGTTGTGATGGTGGTGATTCGGTATCATTTATCACACTACAAATAAAAGAAAAAGCCCATGTTAATAACAGCCACCAGAAAACTAGCTAATACATAATCTGTTAGATTTTCTAAATCAAGCTGGCGAGCCATGCTCATCGACAGTGAGCAGAAGCATAAGCGAGCCATGCCACCCAGAAAACAAACCTCTGCACCTTTGCTAAGCCCAATAATTGTAACTCTACATTCTCTAGAAATGACACTGCTGCCATCTGTGTAGTAAATAAGCGGAGATAACATATTAGTACTATTACGTATCATGTGGATAGTACAGTATGCGGATAACGAATATACTCACTGTATTTGTTAGACAGTAAGCTGATTCACCATGAAGTAGTGCTTGTGCTCTATACCTCTGAATAAATCTAAATAATCATATCAAGTAAAAGTATTAAAAAAAAAAGTTGGATATAATAATACAGTATTTCAATATACGCACCGAATGTGCGAGTTTAATTTTTTGGGATTCGCCTTCACAAGAATATATATCAATACGGGAAATATAGCATCAGCAGCAGAATTTTTGTTCTCTTCTGTTGGTGATGGAGGAACAGGAGCCAATTGGTTATCTACAGGTTTATTTACATCTTCGGATGGATTTCGAGTTGATGTACATTGCTTCAACGTATCTATTGTAAAGGTATAGATAATGAAATGGGTAATTCATTATAAAAGGATTTTTTGCGATCCGACTTTGTAGCCACCAGCACCTTAGTTACACTTACCGACTACAATCTGATGGCATCTTACGAATATACCCAGTTTCTCACCAGGTGTCTTTAACGTCTCCAGCGAACTGAATATGTCACTTGCAGCACATATTGCATTATCAAAGAGAACTTGCTGATGAGGTTGAACGGTAATACCAAGATGACCAAGGCCTAATTCTAATATATTCAGTGCTGCAATCTTTGATCCTAGTGCTTCATCGAATAGTTCATCGTCACCCCATTCAGGACAAAATAAACTAGAGTAAATGATAGAAAAGGAGAATCGAAATTGTCAGAAAATATCTACTGATTCTTCACGTCACGTCTAGTTATAGAAATAGCACAATCAGTTTATAGTATGACGCATTTATAGTTAGTATACATTTCCGATGTATTCGTGTTTTACCTCGTGTACAATACCGAACATATAAACTTTTCGATACAATCTAATTTGGCTTCAGCTTCTCTCTCGGCGTCTTCCGTTAATCCAGTCACTGACTCAATTTCGTTGTAACAGTATTGGTAGAATTCTTGGATCTTTTCCGAGCATAAATCTTCTGACAATGGCGGATTCTGTCCATACTCTTGGACAAATCTATGCACGTAAACAAGCAAACAAAAAAAAAATTCAATTTGATGTTGCAATGTTTTTAAATGCGTGTTTGACCTTGATATTGTAAAATAACCTTTGAATCTCGTCCGGTAACTTCCCGGGAAGATCCGTAATCCAAGTTAATCTTTCTTCAATTTCCCAAATCAAAGCAACTTGCTCAGCAATCTCCTGTCGTATTATCGGCGCTTCAATCACAATTCCTTGTATACTCATTCCATGAAGCATAGACTCTGCATTGTCATTGATTACGCTAATCGTCGGATATTCCGATAGGTTCTTGGGCAACGTGTATGAATCAAAGATAGACCTGAAATGGAATAACCCACGCGTCAGCATACGATCGAACGCGTCTCAATAAACGTCAAACTCTCACCTTGGTTTCATTGATTCATCTGATAACGAATCATTCGGTTGAGATTGTATTGCTCCAATTGCAATCAGAATGTTCCTGATGTTGATGAATGAACAAAATGTCAAACATTTGAAAGAGCTTCATAATTTATGAAAGGGACTGTTTGCATATACATTTATTACTCACGGTCGAATAAATGCTCGTAGGCCACTCAACGTGATTGCTTGTATCCCTTCTTCTGTCTTTTGCGTTATGATTACATGATCTTCTACAAAAGTGCGGTCAATTTTTATCGACGGCAGTGCAATCGCTTCTGGTAGTAACAAAGTGACCTATTCAAATGTTATGCATTAGCAACTGTTATCGGCGTGCGTTCTACTAATCTACTTCATTTTCTTCGATACCTTTCAGAAACCTACTTTCTTTGAAATCAACAGCTGTACAACGTCCGAATACCCTACAGACATCTCACGTAATTTATTTAACATTGAACCACCGATAGATCCATTAGGTACGGGTTGCGACACGTTCTTCCTAAGAAAGAATGGGGACAGCGACGAAGCGGCTGAAGGCGACCGTCGTAATCTACTAGCCCAACCTTTTGCTGCTACTTCAGTTTGTCCTTCGTTTACATTTAGTAGACTGTTTGTTTTCAATGTCTCGGAACTACGTGCATGTTTCAAATTGCGCATGTTTTAATTTAATGTAATATTGCGTAACCGTTCAGTTTATACAACAAAGTTGCAATGAAAGTGGATATATAAATACAATGAAAACTCGATCCTAAAATAATAAATAATAAGAACAAATCATTTATATGGCAAAGATATTTGTGAGAGAAGTCGGAATGTTCGCCGATGATCGTTGTACATTCATCATTAACATTAGTCGCACAATTCAAAATGGCAGACAAAGTAGGTCAGTGTGAACATGTGAGCATTAAGTGGATATTCTAATCACGTGAACAAATTCAAAAACCGCGTCGATCAAATGTACTTGATATAATGTAGTCCATAAGAATAACTATTTTTTAAGTAAGGAAAGTTCACACAGGCTTTTTCCTTAAAACACGCGCGTTGACTGCAGTGTATCAGAAAACGTTCAGTAACTAGATTCTCAAAGAACATTATTATAAGTAAATGAGAAATTTTTCAATCGGCTTAATTAACGAGTGATTTCCCACTGCTTTCAAGTCCAACGAGACTAAGTAAAGATGTGTAAATACACATTTCAGTATAAGACGTATTGCAATAAACAACACGGAAAAATAAATTAGCTTGGAGAAACCTCAACCAGTTAGCATTGTTTGACGAAGTAATTCGCTCACAGGCTCACCCATTGCTCAATTGTATAGTATGAGCTAGGTTTAATACGTTATAATCAGTAATTAATGCATAATATTATTGAAGTATTCTTCGCTAACCTACGTGTATATAATTGGAAGACTAAACTGGCCCTACAAAACCTTTGACCTTAAAGTTTCGGACTTACCTTCAACAAGTGGTAGAACGCAATGGGATATCCAAATTTGCTTCTACCATCGCAAAAACGTGCTATTTAGAAACACATAAAAGATCTATACCAAAACATTGAACCAAAAATTTTTGCTTGGGCTGGCTTTGTGCAAAAGGAAACCATTTTACATTCTTCAGGTGCGCCCATCGCCATTGCAATAATCTGGTTTTAAGCATACTGCACGGCATTAAGTACAAAGCCGGCGGAGAATATTAGTTATAGGCTGGATATAGTATTAAAAGCCTATCTCTTATATTTAGAACTGCAAGGACAGTTTATTTCGTTCGAACATATTCTGCTATCACATTTATTAACGATAAGTTCGCTGGTAAAGAGCGCTTACTCAAACATCTCAATTTTTAAGAAAACATTTCGCAGAGTTCGCATTTACAGATTCATTGGTTTATTGAACAATACCTATTGACTAAGACGCGGATAAGACAGGAACCAAAAGGAAACTTTGTATTTAAAACTAGGTAAGGCTGTTTTGTTGAGAAGTCGACTAGGGTTAATATTAATTTCTAGTGCTTTTAAAGGATATTAACAACAAGATCGATTGTAAAGAATTAATGGTTCGCTATTTAAACAGTGTGTTATGGCATGCCTTTATTATATATTTACATACTAAGCAATTTTTACAAGATTGGACGAATAACTCTAAAAAGGGATGCCGTTAGAATGTAACTAACCTGCACAATTAGTCTGCATGCGGTCACATTAAAATCGATATTAAAATGATCTTATTTAAACTCAAACTAATAAACGACAATGACAATGTTAATATGTAAACTGGCTTTGATTTTAATATCAACACGTCACCAGTTCTTGTCTTCACGTCTGCCGTAGCTGTTGCTCGGTTAGGAAATCTATAGTAGGTAGAGCTTACTAGAATATTCTCGAAACTGATTAGGGTCTTACATCATTACGATAAATGGTATTCCTCATGTTGCTGGATACACAAGTTTTTATACTCCTCTGGTGCTGAATCGGGCATCGGTTGTTGTAGTCCGCCCATAATATTGCATAATAAATCTCTATCGAAGTTGCCTATATTCAACAGGGGGTTCCGTAATTTGTAATAAAGGGTCAAAGTTGACTCGCGCGAATTCACGGTTGGTAAACAATGCAATATTAATAATTAAATCTTTATTTGCTATTTATTTTACTGATTGTTATTTTTAATTATAGTAAGTATCTTATATTATTTTGATTATCAATGACAAAGAATATCGAATTGTCATCATTACATCATTGTTGATAATTCAATATTCTTTGT